GTACATCTTTGAGGAGTCTTCCTGTGGCCTGGTTCTTTTAACTGTGTTCCAGTGACACTCGGGGGTATCAGTAAAATCTCCAAGACACAATACAATATATTTGGTAGCATTCTTCTAGATCCATGATTCTTCCGAGGACAAAGGAACTGGGATAAAGTAGGTTCCTGAGAGTCATAACAGAGGGTGTTTTTTCAAAAATGCAGACCCAGCAATGAATGTGCTAGAAATTGATCCTGGAGATCAGACTTACCCACATGGGTTATGAGTGAGCCAATGTATATTCTGCCCTAGGACAGTGTATAGAGTGGCCAAAATTTCCTAGGCTGTCCATTCCAGGCTGTGAGGTCTCCTCCGATGATGTGAAAAAGATGGGAAAACATCACCATATATGATGGTCGTTGAAGGTTGCTTGTTATTTTGGGACTGAAGGATTCTTCAGAAAGACTATTCTCCATTTCCACCTTAAATGAGTTCAAATTCTTAAACACTCTAGGAACATCTAATTTAATGCTACATTAATGACATAGGATTGTGATTACATGATATTTTATTTATTTATTTATTTATTACATGATATTTATTGTGCATTGTGATGCACAAATGGAGTATGAAATAGGAAGTTCTCTATGTTACTGTGAAATGTCAAACATTTGGCCTTATTTCAAAAGTTATCTGGAATTTTTTAGTCACCAATATGTAAAAAGTACCCTCCTACAACAAAAAATTGGATATAGTGTATTGAGATCTATGATTCATAGAAGCCTACCCGTCTTAGTATTTTTATGCTTATCATAAGGTACTTGCTTGCTTTGCTGCATCCCATACAGATTTTTTTTTCCTACCTGGAAATAAGATTTTATAACTAGTGATTTTGAAGAGTCTTTATGGTGAAAACACAACACAGAATTAATTAAAGTAACATAGGTACACTAGAGAATCATTCTGTTGGAATCATTAAAAATTTGGCATACTTAGAAATTCAGTTAGAATTTTTACAATCTTTTTCTGACACCTTCAAAGAATACTTCTATTCATTGTGTTTTTCAATAATGCTGTCTACCACATTTTAAAAAGTTTATTCAAAGTACTACATGCCAACTAATTTAATTAATTTTGCATGAAATGTGAAAGAATCCATAGAAAATAAGTGAAAGAAGGATATTGTTTTGAAATGAGGTGACTTTACTATTCTTGAAGGCAGTGACTGCTTTTCCATGTCACTTAATGCTGGCTGTTATGTTGAATTATAGAAAGAGTCTGTGCGGTTTCTAGTACAGCTTCTTTTTCAGAGCCAACCAGAAGCTCTGAAGTCATAAATCCACGTTGTAGCTCCAAGACAATGTGGCCTTTTCCTATATTTGCTTGCTGAGTTGTTTCTAAACAAAGTTCTTTATCCATACGTCAGTGTATCTTTATTTTTCTTATTTGTACCTGCAATCTGTAATTATGCTTTGATATTTCTCTCTTGGTTTTCCACTAAAAAAAAATTTTTTTTGCTTTTTTTTTTTCTGGATGGATATTTGCTAATTTAAAACATTTATAGAGATTCTTTTTTCCAAAGAGCACATAGTACTTTATTATCTTTTCCTTGGTTCTTACTTTGAAAAAGATACACTATGAAAAAGAGGGTAAAAGAGTTTAAGACATTTTCTCAACTCATAGAGATAGTAACTGAATGAACATGCAAGAAATGTATGTCTTAGTTCCTGCAAGTGACAAAATATGCTGATTGACATATTCAAGTTCTAACAAACAGAAAGAATAGTATTAATCTAGTAAGAAGTCATATGGAAGCATGTACGCTGGTTTTGATTATTCAATTAAAACTAATAAATGTTAAATATACATTATTTCAAAAAGAATTTTACTAAAGATTTTAGCACCTCTGCCTTTTAGGAGCTCACAATTTAGTTATTTATATTCTTTACCAATTTAAAGATTTTTGTCATGAATAATTTAGAATTACTAGAAATTAGGAGCTAAGTGTTTCAGATTTTCATAGAAACAACTATCTTTCTGTGTTCTATCAGATTATTCAGGAGGGTTTGTCTTTTAGTGAGTTCATTTTTAAAGAGGTTCCATGTGTATGTATTGAATAAAGAGTGTCTAAGAGAAATAATCCTTAATGAATAGCACCTAAAAATGCAGAAATAGCAAATACTCTATATTATGTTTGGTTGGCTTCTGTGCATCTTTTTTCTGCCCACATAACCTGTATTGGGAGTTTCCCAAGTGGTACAATGGCAAAGAATCCGCCTGCAATGCAGGAGATAGGAGTTCTATCCTTGGGTCTGGGTTAGGAAGATTCCTTGGATAAGAAAGTGACAACCTGCTTCAGTATTCTTGCCTGGGAAATCCCATGGACAGAGGAGCCTGGCAGGTTACAGTCCATGGGGTTGCGAAGAGTTAGACATGGTTGAGTGATTGAGCATGCATGCGGGCACATGATTGATCGAGTATGTTCCATCTTACTCCCACTCTTGTCCTTTCTTTGATGCTTATTTTAAAAAGTATTTCCTTACTTTAAGAATAATTTTATTAAAAACTGAGACATTTATGTTAATGCAATTAGTATAGCAGGATAGTAGAAGAATTTAAAAGCTCTTTTTCTCTCCTTGACTCCTTATCCCCAAACCCCATAGGTCACATCTTAAATAGGTCCATGTCTGCCCTTCCCCAAAATGTCTAAGTGTATTCCAGTAATTACAAATTCATACATATATATACATGTCTGTCTATACTTATCTGTATACCTTTGTAAATAAAAATTCATAATATTTCCCGTATGGAGTGATAATACATAAAATGGAATGGTCAAAGCCCAGACTAATCAGAGTAGGTGTCTTGGCTGTTCCTTGCACGCCCTAGGTTACCCAGATGTTCTCTGGAAAGAGAAGGCATTTGGGATGCTTGGACAGCAGTGATTTAGCAAGTACAGAAGTATTTCAGTGTTTTAACTACCAGTATTTACTGAACTGTGCCTAAGAGGCAAATGGTTTCCCTACTTTTGCCCATTAAATGGCTCATGATTTTCCCCTCAGTGCACACAGGTAGAAATGCTCACGTTTCAGTAAGGATCTCAAAAGACCAGCATCTGAGTCACCTCTTTCATCTTAAATACCAGCTTTTCATATTTTTAAATTCAGTCCCTTAGAGTTTGTCATAGACCGTGTGCATGTATTCCTGGAAGTCTCTTGTCGAAACTGTGAAGCAGAAAATGTATATTTTCAGAACATTACTTTCAAGCTCCCCTCTAAACAGACCCATTAATCATCATTTAACAGGTTTGTCCTCCAATTGTATCTTTTCAGTGACCCCAATCACCCAGAATTTAGGGTTGGCAAACTCCCTGTGTCTCACTGAATGTACTAAAAAGACCATATACTATTGCTTTCTTACTAGCATACTTTTAATGTATCTCATTATTGCAATTTATTATCAACTCATAGATGGTGGGACTATACCTTGAAAGAAAGTTGTTTAGTTGTGTCTGACTCTTTGCGATCCCATGGAATGTAGCCTGCCAGGCTCCTCTGTCCACGGAATTCTCTAGGCAAGAATCCTGGAGTGGGTTGCCATTTCCTTCTCCAGGGGATCTTCCTGACCCAGGAAAGACATATACTATTGCTTTATTACTAGTGTACCTTTCATATATTTCATTATTGCAATATATTATTAACTCATAGATGGTGGGACTATATTAACTACCTTATATTTACCTTTCTACCCAGGACATCACAAAAAATGTCAGTCAGTAATGTTTATGCATTGTTTTTTTGGACTTTTGGATTGGATTGGTAAAGATGCACAAATGGACCATCACAAAACATCTAGAATATTTATTTTGTATGTATTCAGATATTATGTAGATTTGAAAGCAGAGGATTGCCATATTCCCCTCAGTGGTCACTCTGTTGACTTATAGTGACTTGATGCCTTTATTTTCTTTTCTTTAACACGTTTACCTCTTATACAGAAGGTACAGAAACGCTTCATTTACTATATTCCAGTTTCAAACAGCTGCTGCGTGTACTAGAATTTCTTCTCCACTATTTTCTATTTGGGAATGTGGAGGGATTGACACTGAGTGTTTATAGCCAAGCCCTTTGTAGGTACTTTTGCAGACATTGTTGCATTTGGTCTACACTGTTTCTCAGTTGTATACTTAGTATTCTTATTATTGACCCTAATTAACAGAAATGGGAGTGAGTGTTGACAAAGTAAAATAATCTGCCTGAGGTCACATGAATGTTGGGATCACAATTTAAATACAGGATTGTGCCTTCAAAGTGCTATATTTTGTTTTGTTTTGTTTTCCTGGGCCACAGTAATGCCATCTAAATGGTACTTGTCTGAGGATTAGGTGATACAGGTAACTGTTTTCTAAGCTATCAAGCACTATTCACATATGGAGTTTCTAACTCATAATCTCCAACAGAGTAATGTGAGTAAATTGGTATGTATCAGATACTGTAAGTGATTGTGATTACAATGGAATTTCAAAAATTAGATGAAATGATGTTAATGAGTTGCTGGAGAACTAAAATTCAATTTTAACCCATTTCTTTTAAAGTCATGGGTGTCAAATGCAACATATCATTTTAGTAAAAAGATATTAAATATGGATATGTAACTGTAAAAATATTTTTAAAGAATATAATTTTGTTCTTGTTTAGTTGCTAAGTAGTTTCTGACTCTTTGCAATGTGTGGACTGCAGCCCGCCATGCTGCTCTATCTATGGGGCTTCCCAGGCAAGAGTGCTGGAGGGGGGTGCCATTTCCTTCTCCAGGGAGTCTTCCTGACCCGGGGATCAGACTGTGTCTTCTGTATTGACAGGTGGATTCTTTACCACTCAGCCACCTGGGAAGTCCAGAGAATATAATAGGGTTATGGAATAATACCCAAAGTAAAAATATTGTAGCCTTAGGCCTTATATTTGATAAGCAGCTGTGAGAAACTTTGGAATTCAGAGTTACATGTTGTTGTCACACTTCTCCAGGTGTTCCAGATCGCGTATGTGATTGTGAAAGCAGCCAATTCCCCTCGGCCTGGAAACTGGATTTTGGAACGCTCCCTGGACAATGTTGATTACAAGCCCTGGCAGTATCATGCTGTGACGGACGCAGAGTGCCTAACCCTCTACAATATTTATCCCCGCACTGGGCCACCGTCATATGCCAAAGATGACGAGGTCATCTGCACTTCGTTTTATTCCAAGATACACCCCTTAGAAAATGGAGAGGTAAGATGAGAAAATTCACCCTCAATACATTTAAGATGGCAAAATAGGCCTGTCAGAAAGACTTGAATATATCAGTCACTGATGTCAGGGAGATTTTAAAATAGGATTTAGCAGAAGTACATTTAAAATAAGCTATTAAATAAAAAGGAAAAACTGAAGGGTATTAGAATTTTAACTGCCTTCAGCTAGTATGTATCTTCTGTGTCCAATAAATATCAGAGAAGAGGAAATGGGCTTAAGTTGGAAAGTCAGTGATTAATTTTAAAGAAACTTTTCTGACAGTGAGGCTTGCTAGTTATTGAAGGATTGAGACCTTAAAAGAAACCTTAAATCTGTGTGTGCTCTAGTCTGAAGATAGGGACAAAAGAGATAAATTCTGGAAGACATAATTCACATGAGGGACCTAAAGAGAATGACATTGTATCAGTTTTTATGTTTTTCTACTGTTGCTGCATAGGGCTGCAGTGGGCTTTCTTTCCTTTGTTCAAGTTTTGCTTATTATATGCTTAATTCAAATCTGTTCAGCTTCTCCATAGCATCTTTCTTCCTGTGGTTAAGATTTTGATTTGTTCCTTTTTTTTTCAGCCACGTTTTGGTCATTGTTTCAGCCATGTTTTTCATGGTTTTTCAAACCATGAATTCACCTTTACCAACTGTGCGATCTTGAATCAGTGCCTTAAGTTGCCTGTGCCTCCGTTTCATCTCCCAGAAACTAGAAACAATAGCAGTAGTTCTTAATTCTTATGATTGTCAAGATTAAATGAAAATGTTTAAAACACTATAATAGTACCGACAAACACATGTACATTGCTTCATAAGCATTAACTATAAGCATTAACTATTTCTATTGCTGTTATATAACAATTGCATTGAGATCGGTGGTGGTAGGAGCAGCCCCCTCTCAAATACCCAAACCTAGACCTCATGCCTCTTGGATCTCTAGTTTTGTTTCCCTAAATCAGTCTCCCTTCAGTATATAAGGCCTAGCTCTTTTTGTCCTACTTTCTTATGTCCATTTCTCTTTATACTCATGGCTAATATTCTCTCCTCACCAGTTCACATGCTTGAAGCTAGTATCATTTTTCACATCTATATTTTCAGGAAACCCATATTCATACACTATCATGCCCACCTCAAGCAATCTGAGATTATTTCTTTAAACACTTCCGGGAGTAAGTTAGACTTTTGACATATATAGATCACACTGTCTTTTGGCACTATTATTCTATGAATGTATCCCAGTGCCTCACTGTATTTCAATTTCATGTTCAAAAATATTAGTTTTGGGTGAAGAAAATTCCAAATGGTGCTCTCAGCAGAGATCTCAATTTGCCAAACAATGAGTCAAAAGCAGTGAGTTAAACAGCTATTCAACCTGCTTTGTGCCCAGAGGCATCCAAGTCCTGGCCAGACTGGCCTGAGGATATGGGAGTAGGGAGGGAAGGCAAGGAGAATATATTTGAGTTAATTTGTATAATTTTTTTCTTGGATCCAGTGTTGACCCAGGACTAATAATTATGTAATATTTATAAAGCTATTCCTTATCTTTAAAAAATGAGCCAATTCAGAAATGTGTTTAACAATATAAAATGTACCCAGATATGTAACTCACAAGTTGCATACACACCCTAAAGCATGCTAACACTACATAGATGGTGGTTCTCCTTTCTTTAGACTTTGTCAACTTACCAACGTGGAACAGATATTCTATTTGTTTGTGTTTAACTGACTACACTGTTTTAGACACTCACTATAAACTAATCATTACTGTTGACTTTTAAGAACAACTTATTCAACTGTCTCTGTGACATGCTTTTTAAAGTCTATTTCTCTCTCATTGGAAAGTGAATGAGGTGAGGAATGGAAAGTAATTCAAAGTATTTTAAGTAGATTGATAGTATTTAAAAATATGAATGAAATTCAGACCTTTGCTGGAATATCTGTTTTATTTAATGTCTTAGTCTGTGAAACATGGTACTTTTTGGAATGGACAGGTTCAGCGAAGGTAGGGGATGGTCTCCCAAGACTGCCCGATCAACTGGTGACAAAGTTGAGATAAGAATCCAGATCCCCTGAATCTTACATTAGTGTTTCCTTCATACTCTAGTAAAGACTGAAAGTTAATTTTTTAAAAATCTTGGTAATTGCTAAACTCAAAAATGATTTAGAAGAGATATTGACCTGCTGGATCCATTAAAGTAGAAAGATTTCTAATCCTGAGATATGGTGATATAGAAGAATGGGATTAGAAGATTGGGTTCTGCTTCTGCTACTAGTTTTTATGGGACATTGAACAGGTCAGTTAATCTCTGAGTTTGAATTTCTTTAATATATGAATTAGCTTCATATATAAATTATCCTAAGGCATCTTTCAGTTCTAAAGTAGTACAGTTTCAGATATCACCTACAATATAACATTGGGAATATTTTACATTTTTTGGATGTTTGTCTCCAATATTTCCCAGACAAGTGATTGTGAAATAAATCTTAGTATCATTAACTTTTAGTTTTAAAAGCATTCACCTTTAAGTACCATCTGAAATCTAACTATTAGGTGCTTATATTCAAAACTTGCCAGAGAAGTGACATGCAAGTAAGAAAAATAAACATATAAATGAGTAAATGCAAAATGATAGTATAAATGCCACCACAGAATTGTTTACAGAAAGTGGTAAAGTTCTTCTGGGTGAGTCAAAGGAACCATGCTGAGAAGATGAATTCTCAGAGTACAGAGAAACATACAAAATTTCTTAGTATCTCCAAAGTTTTGAAGACAATTGCAAATTTATTGCCAATATGCTTTAGACATATAACAGAATTCACTCCATTATTGAAGGATATTTTTATTTGGTTTGAATTGTAGGCTTGTTATTATCTTAAATGTACATAAATATAAGAAGAGGACAGAGACTCCCTGTGTCCCTTTTACCCAGCTCCCACTAAGGATAGTATCTTTCATAATCTATATGCATTTGTCAAACTAAGAAATTATTATTATTATTTATAAATTATAAGTTACAATTATTGTTGATACTCTATCACCTACAGATTTATTCAGATTTCATTCAAATTATCTTTAATGATTTTTTTTCTCTTCTGGGATCCAGTTTGGAATAGGATGTTGCATTTATTGCATCATTGTGTCTCTTAGTCTCCTCTAATCCATGACAATCTTAATCTTTTTTTGTTTCTCTTGACCTTGATCACTTTTTAAAATTGCCCTTTGTTGTAATGTTTTTGTTTATTTGACTGCACTGTGTCTTCGCTGTAGCCTGTGGTACCTTTAGGTACGGCATGCAAACTCTATAAATTGTAGACTATGGGGTCTAGTTCCCTGACTAGGGATCAAAACTGGGTCCCCTGCATTAGGAACATGGAGTCGTAGCCACTGGACTCCCAGAGAGTCCCAAGCCTGATCAGTTTTAAGAGTACTGGTCAGATTTTTTGGTAGCATATTACTCATTTTGAGTTTGCCTACTATCTGTTAATGATTAGACTGGGCTTCTGGGCTTGGGGGAAAAATACCACAGAAGTGAAACAACTTCCTCATTTCATCATTCCTAATTATTTTTATATCCACATCTCCTGTCTATTTCCTTTTTATTGGTTTATTAGTCTTACTGTTTTCTAGATAGGATTTTATTTTAGACAATGCTATCTAGATATTTACCATGATTTGAAATGTATATTCTTGACTAAGCATCAAATGATTATTTGCTTCCATATCTTCAAAATACTCTTGAAATGTGAATTTAAGTAAGAGAATAAGAGAAATGACAGCGGAGTATTTTTAAGACTTTGGAGACTTGGCTTGGGAAGATCTCCTGGAGAAGGGAAAGGCTACCCACTCCAGTATTCTGGTCTGGAGAATTCCATGAACTCTATAGTCCTTGGGGTCGCAAAGAGTCAGACATGACTGAGCAACTTTCACTTCATTTCACTTCACTGTGAATAAGGCATTAAGAAATAAACATACATCAATTATAACACACTAAGCAACAATGTTTGTGTTATAGGTACAGAAAATTAATAGAAAATAGTCTTCTGTGACTGACATCAGATCTGTTGAGTCTAAGGTTTAGTACATTGTCACTTGTCTGCAGAATTTTGGAGACATGTGCCAAAACGTTTAGAACATTCCCGTATATCATGTTTCAGTTGAAAAGGGCATCATTTTAGGGCCGAACGACACTTTGGGTGAGTTCCTCGTCAATATATTAAAGGATATCATAGCCTTGACTTCAGCATGTGTATCCAAACTTCAGTATTGTCCTCTGTCCATATTATCATTGAAGGCTATTTAGCCTTTCCTTACGGCCTCTTGAGTCTTAGCAGCAGCATCTCTGCTTGTTTCTTCAGTATTGTTTATTGCTCCAGCCACCCCCACTCTCCTGCCCTCACCCTCTAGTTTGGTCCATTCTCTGCCCTCTGCCTCACATTGCCTGCAAGAGATCAACAAATGTTGATCATGTGGATCCACTGGAAAGGTAGTACAAGGCACACACCCAGCCTTCTGGATGACTAGGTTCACCTGCATCCAAGGAAAAGCTTAGCCCTTCAGGTTCCATCCTGGGCTTGCACCCAAAGGGAAAAAAAGGAATTCACTGAGCTGTGAGATCATCACATCCCAGGGCTGGCAGAGGAAAAATAATACAAGGCAATGAAGACAATGGTAGACCCAGTATGTTGTTATCCAGACTGTAAACAGAAAGAGACTTTGAGCAAAAACCTTCCAAGAGCTTCATTTGAGAAAGGCAATTTGGTGTCTATCAGTACCAAGAGACGGCTTGGCAGGAACCCTGCTTGGCTTGCTTTGTGAGAATGGTCCTGAGCTCCAGAGTAGGAGTTGTGTGGTGTAAAGTAACAGATGGCAGCGGGCATCCATCACTTTGAGGCCAGCCAAAGAGAAAAACTGTGGTGGGCACAGCTGCATGGACACACATCACCAGCAGTGCCATAGGGTGTCCGCTCCGTCCAGAGCTGCTATCTGTCTAAGTGTA